GATCATTGTAATCAATATTTTACCCAAGTTGGCAAATCACTAGCAGAAGGTATCCTTGCACAACAACCCGCATACAATTGTTCTGACAAAACTACTTCGAATTATCCTCACTTAACTTCATTTGTATTAAGAGATACTGACAATGATGAGGTTCTTAATGTCCTGATGGGGTTAAAATCAAATAGTGCTCCAGGCTGGGATGGCATTCCTACCCAATTCTTAAAGCTAACTGCTGATATAATTGTCCCTATTATTGTTCATTTGATCAATCTATGCTTTGCTCTAGGTGTCTTTCCAGATGCACTGAAAATCGCTGTAGTTACCCCAGTGTACAAAGGAGATGATAAAACGGATATAAGCAATTACAGGCCTATTTCTGTTTTACCACCTATTGCCAAAATACTGGAGAAAATAATTAATAAACGTTTAATGAACTACCTTAATACATTTAATATCCTCTCCCCAAGTCAATATGGCTTTAGACGGGATTTATCGACAGAAGATGCCGTGTTGGATCTCACATCGCTTATTACTAATGCTGTGGATAAAAACAAAAAATGTGCTGCAGTGTTTTTGGATATGAAAAAGGCATTTGACTCAGTATCAATTACAGACCTTATCGACAAGTTGGAGAAAATAGGCATAAGAGGAATTCCCTTGAAATTATTCAAAGACTATTTATGCAATCGAAAACAGAGTGTAAAAATAGGAAAACACCAAAGTGAACAATGTGAAATCACCTTCGGAGTTCCGCAAGGAAGTGTATTGGGGCCCACTCTATTCCTTGTATATATTAATAATTTATGTAACATGGATATAGAAGAGGGAACAATGTTCACTTATGCTGACGACACTGCTGTCGTTTTTGTAGCTGACACCTGGGAGGCTGTTAAAAATAATTCCCAAAAGGGCCTTGCAAGAATAGCTAAGTGGCTCAGCGATAACCTTTTGACCCTCAATACCTCTAAAACTAACTATGTATGCTTCTCCAATTATAACTCCTCTCAACCACCTCCGACGTTTGCTATTCAAATACATACTTGTGGCTCACCTCATTCTATAATATGCTCATGCGATTTTATTAAGCGGCAAAACTGCGTAAGATACCTGGGTACTATGGTAGACCAACGCCTATCATGGCGCGATCATATAGAGCTAGTTATGGCTAGAGTAAGAAAACTCATATGGTTATTTAAAAATCTAAGACACGTAGCTGACTCGGCCCTCCTAAAACAAATTTATACTGCTCTTGCGCAGTCAATATTAATATACTGCATTCCGGCCTGGGGTGGTGCCATTAAAACAAAATTCCTGGAACTGGAGAGAGCACAAAGGTCACTACTCAAAGTTATCCATTTTAAGCCATACAGATTCCCTACGGAAATGTTATATGCGGTTAGCGATCTTCTGTCAGTACGTAAGTTGTATGTACTGCAAACTACTCTTAGAACCCATCGACATATTGGATATGATCCTAGTATTTTGAACAGACGTAGAAGGCATAATGTGGCACCTTTACCAACTTTTAAAACTAAATATGCTCATAGACAGTTCTGCTACCAGTCTGCTAACTTATATAATAAATTAAACAAGGAATTAAATCTATATAATATGAATAAATATAAATGTAAAATAACTATAAATTGTTGGTTAAAAACTCTAACCTATGAAGAAGTTGAATCTATTATCTAAGAATTACTATTCTAAAGTCTACTTTTATCTTACACTCTAAAAGAACACACACACTCAAACATATGATACAGACATATACACACATACCTCATACACACTCACTCACACACACTTACACTCTCACACATCAACATACACTTAACTGAATACAACGAACACCCCTCAATTTATCACTCATACACGATGCATCTTTTAACTTGTATAAATATTGTTTTGTTTTTGTAATATTATTCCCTTTTGTCTAAACTTACATACCTAATTAAGTGTACCTAGGAAGAGCGGATACTCCAAACACAAGTATATTATACATACTTAAATGGAGGCTCCAGCCACATGTTGTTACCATTGTAAGTGATTGAATAAATATTTTTTCATTTCATTTTTTCAATCCGTTAAAAAAGTGTTTTCTTTAAAATGACATTAAAATTATCACATTAAAATTTTTGGGTAACATTTGAAATCTTTTCAAAAATTTTATCTTTCTCCTTCTTCTACGTTTGTAGCAAAAACGACACTAACAATAGAAAAAAAATTACTCTCATAATTTTTCCCAAAAGCACCAAAGGAAGTATAACTTCAAAAAAACTAAAATGTTGACTATAACTAACTTCAGGGTGTCGGTTTTTGTGACGGTGTGCGCGCGCATCGTAAAAATTTACTCTCATCATTTTTCCCTGCAGCACCAAAAGAAGTATAACTTGAATAATTCTAAGTTCAAGTTGTTATAAATAGCCTAGACAGTGTCGGTGATATTCATGAGATGAGCACTTACATCAGATGTTTGCCCAGCCATTAGACAAGCACAGCTGACGGCATTACGTTTCGAAATTAAGCGGAAATTCTACGCTTATATTTTACAATTACTTAGCAATGTTGGTCTATGATTTTTGAGAGAATATCTGCTCGAAGTTTTGAAAGAGGTTTTACTTAAATTAATAATCTGTGCAATTGTAAGTGAAAGTCTGTGGGCTAACATAAACAAATCTATTTTTTGATAGAATTTGATTTGATTATTCAATATAGCCTTCGAGAGCGGTAAAATGATTATAGGGGTCATACATTGTTTCGATACCTTTTTTATAGTACGATTTGTCTTTAGCATCATAAATGGCTTCAGTTTCGGCGATCACCTGTTCATCAGCGCAAAATTATTATTATCACCACCAATATGAGCTGGTCATCTTAAGCACTTTTACGCAAATAATAACACACAAAAAATAATGTGATGTAAATGGCAGTCACTGCTAAAAGCATATACAAAACTGACAAGGTTGTTATAATGTTACTCGACTCTTCAAAGAATACACTGTCTTCGAGTTCTGCCCTGCGATTCTGTAACTCACTTTTCGAACTCACACAGCGGTTTTCGCATCGGCGGTCGCTCTGAAATCAGTCGTGAAGCAGTCATTTTATGATTTGGCATTCTAATAAACAATAAACTACAAGCTCCCACCTTTTCAGATGGCTTTGTTATTCCTCTTTTATATTAAATATGTTATATGTTTTATGTTTATGTTTGAATATGTATTCCGTTTTTGGCTTTTGTGTATAATGTAATTGTTGAGATATTGTATAATAAGTAGCTGAAGGAATAATGATAAATAAATAAATAAAAATCAACCAAGTTCAGACACCTCTTAGTCGAATTTTTCAACGGTATTTTTTTTTTTACTTAACAATAAGCAAAAATACTAGTATTTTTAAATATTTTATTTTATATATGTTTTAACTGTATTTTTATATTTTTGTAATATTTATGTTTAACAAAATTGTCATAGGTATATGTTAAATAAGATAGCTTGAAGAATTAATGAAAAAATAATAATAATATTAATTAATTAATTAATTTTTTGATAAGAATAAGTCTATCTATAGACTAGACAAAGGGGGAACGCTGCCAGTATTTTCGGAACCTTGCCTAAAGGGACTCCTTTTAATAATATATTTTAGTTGTTTTATTATATTTTAAGGTTAGTTATTGTTTTAAATGTGGTATTGATATTTGTTTCATTAAAATGTAAATTTAATGACAGTAATGAAACAAAGATAGCTTGTAACATATACTGTAGATATAGCATTATGTATGATGTGGTAAACTTCAATAAATAAATAAATAAGTAACTTTGGTTTTACGGTTATAAAACGTTTTCTGTAGGTTTGATAAGAGTAAATTAGTGAACAGCCGTGCGATTCTGTAACTCACTTTCGAACTCACACAGCGGTTTTCGCAGTGCCGGTCGCGCTCAAATCAGTCGTGAAGCAGTCATTTTACGATTTTGCATTCTGATAAACAATAAACTACAAGCTCCCTCCTCATAAAAGTGAGTTACAGAATCGCAAGGCAGTCTGGGCCCGACTGGAAACACGAGTTATTTCACCGGGAACAGAGGATCTTAAACAGGCGTTAATTTATGACTGTCAAACAGGAAAATTTATATGTAGCATTGGTATATGTAACGCTAAGACATCGGTTTAGTATAAACATCAAATGTGGTAGTATCTAGTAAATACTCACTAAGTAAAATTTAGTTCTTTGGCATTTAAAACTGAATTTCAAGTAAATTTTGATAGAATATCGGGTTATTAATTTCTATTATAATAATAGTAGTCCAGGTTTTTAATATAATGATAAGTATTAGAAGAGCAACGAGAAATTGTTTATTATCGTCGACGTTGAAACGCTAACAAGTCACCGCTGCGAGCGTTATTTAGCTTCCTGTTTCACGTCTTAATAGGTCACTTTATTCACGGCCAGAAGTAAATTAAGTCGTACAGTTTTTAGAGGGGATATTAAAAGCGTTTTTGTGCGGTTCATTGAAGTATAACTGATATATTAAAAAATATCGATTTTGAGTCGAAACATGCTTTTTTAAATTTAACACTTGAGTTTTGTATTGTTTTAAACAATACGTTATAACCCTAACTTACGTTTTTGCGTGTTTACGGCTCTAGAATTTTACGAAGGGCTAAAACATTTCGTATCTGTCAGTACAATGTCCTTGAACTGGTAAACTTATTATTTTCACAAACTTCACGCACGTAGTAACCGCTACAAACACCGAGCGCCCATAACGCTCGCATTAACCCAACTAGAAACTAACTTATAATAAGTCGGCGAGATATCTTCGTCGCTAATAAGTTTTTTCCTCTCCCCACAGCGGTAATAAAACTTCATCAGTGCTACGTGAGGACGAACTCACAGTGGCTTTCGAAGCCTTCAGTGAGAGGGAGCGAATTGGCGCGAGCCTCAGTCAGGCGCCGGCCTCAGGCAGCGCCGGTCGTGTGATGGATTGTGCAAGGTAAAGGGCATGCGGGCCGCGCTCGCCGCGCTGGCGGCTTGCTGCGTGGTAGCGAGCGCCGAGGTACCCTCCGCGCGCCTCGCCCCGCGCAACACCACCGCCCATCACGTCCTTCAGTGCAGTGATGGGCTTGTGCTACCTGCCTGGCTACCTCTTGAAGATGTCCCGAACGTCGAAATCGCTATCCGCGGGTCCGTCTACTTCCTGTCACTACTCTATCTATTTATCGGCGTATCTATCGTCTCTGACCGATTTATGGCAGCTATTGAAGTCATTACCTCCAGAGAGAAAGAGGTGCGCGTACGGCGAAATGGAAGTGATCAAATTATTGTCGTGCGCGTGTGGAATGAAACTGTAGCCAATTTAACTTTAATGGCACTCGGTTCGAGTGCGCCGGAAATCTTACTATCAGTCATCGAAATAGCTGGGAAAAATTTCGAAGCTGGTGATTTAGGCCCTGGCACAATTGTGGGATCAGCTGCGTATAATTTATTTGTTATCATCGCCATTTGCGTTTTTGTGATTCCGGACGGCGAAGTGAGAAAAATAAAACATCTAAGAGTGTTCTTGGTCACAGCGTCATGGTCAGTTTTTGCATATGTTTGGTTGTATTTAATTTTAGCTGTGATTTCACCAAGCGAAGTGGAAGTATGGGAAGGCTTAGTCACATTCCTTTTCTTCCCAGCCACAGTCTTAACAGCCTATATAGCTGACCGAAGGCTATTAGTTTACAAGTATTTGAAAAAGGGTTACCGTGTAAACGAACGTGGCGTGATCGTAGAAGTGGAAGGTGATGGCTCAGTTGAAATGGCCTTAAAACCCTGTGACTTTGGTGACGACGAAGAAGGCCGGGAGCTTGAAAAATCTAGAAAAGAATACGTACAAGTGCTGCGTGATTTAAGAAAACAACACCCTGAAGAGGATTTAGAAACGGTTGAACGCATGGCACTAGAAACATTAATGGCAAAAGGCCCAAAATCTCGTGCATTTTACAGGGTGGCAGCTACGCGTAAAATGACTGGTGGTGGTGACTTTTCCAGAAAAATATCTGAAAGAGCACAGAGTGATTTGAGCGAAGTAAAAGCTGAGCTGCAACGTCGTGAGTCAAGTTCAGTGACTGCGGAGCCCAGAGGACCACATGTTCGCTTTGATCCCGACCACTATACGGTGCTGGAAAATTGTGGTTCGTTTGAAGTACGTGTGGTTCGCGGCGGCGATCTAAGCGGTGAAGTCACCGTTCAGTATACCACCGAGGATGGGACGGCGGAAGCTGGTTCAGATTATGTAGCAGCACAGGGATCACTCACATTCGGACATGGAGAAACTGAAAAGAAATTTTCTGTTCAAGTTATAGATGACGAAGTCTTTGAGGAAGATGAGCATTTTTTCGTTCGACTCAGCACTCCGAAGGGAGCTTGCTTGGCTTCGCCTTCGATGGCGACTGTGGTGATCTTGGACGATGATCATTCGGGTGTGTTTTCGTTTTCGCAAAGAGACTATGAACTGACAGAGTCGGTTGGGACGTATGAGTTAAAAGTGGTAAGGACTGCTGGCGCCAGAGGTCGTGTACGGGTCCCATATAACACAGAAGATGGTACCGCAAAGGTTGGTGCACAGTTCGAGGCATCAGAAGGACACCTTGTCTTTGAGAACAACGAAACTGAGTAAGTACACATTAAGCAGCTTATGATATGAAACAATTAATTAGTAATGTACGCGGAGTGCGTGATAACAACCCCGGGCAATGTTATGTGACTTTGCTTTTGACATAATTGTAAAATGTATTCCACTAATTTAATTGTGCGTGGTGCACATTGTTAAATCTTGTAGCCTAATTGACATAAATTTTAGCCTGACAAGCTTTTAGAAAATAATTATTCATGCAGTAGTGAAAAGTATGTTTTAGTTTCCACTATAAAATGAGCGTAGTAGTTTAAAAAAATAACAACGCTAACTAATGTAAATGTGTGTGCCTTTTTTTTAAATTATACTATATTTTTTCTAAATGAATTTTACACTTAAAGTACTTTTCGTTTCTTGTCCTTCCTCCAGTAAAAAAACGTATAAATCCTTAATAATCAAATCGAGAATCGTTAATTTTTAAAGGCAAAAAACTTTGGGTGTTTTATAGTGATTCCTTAGTCACTAGCATTATCCTACTCATGAAACGTTATAATTATTAAATATCACTATTAGCCTGTAAGCAAATATATTAGTAAAATGCATTTACAATTCCCGAATGATTCGAGGCTACGTTTAATTTAAAATTACGATTTTCTGAGAAAGAATTAAAGCTATATTTCATATCTCGGCAATCACCGCTTAAGCCGTGGTATTCGGGAAAATTCGTTGAGTCATACTTCCTTGGAACTTAATTAAAGTACTCCAGTGTAAGTCTCATCTATCACTGCCCAAGTTACGGCGGCCTTCTATCGACTGATATATGATTTACACATATATTAGAATCACACATATGATGAATGATATCAGAAGGGTAAGCGTAAGTTTTCGTCAAGATTTTTTATGTAGATAAATCTAATCATTGTCCATTAATAAACAAAAAATTTCTTGATGATGATAAATGCCATTTATTCATTCGGAAAAAAATATGCTTCGAAATTTAAATTTACTGCCAGTTCTCAAATCAAGGGCGTAGAGTGGATACGAAAAACAATATAGTCTCCGCCAGTTATCAATCGCCAAGATTTTTGTTTTACATACATTTTTGTACTAAATGGGGCATATATATTTTGCATTTGTATTTAATAACTGATTTTTTTGGTTCCCTAAACTATTGAGTCATGAAACACTGATTTATGAAAATCAATTTACATTGGTCACAAAATCGCTTATCACACGTCCAAGGACATCCCTTTTAGAACATTCTAATTACGCATGGCTGGGTAAAACTACTGTTTTTATGTCTAGTTTCAGTTTGATTTATTGTAATATTTCCCTAAATACTCGTACTAGTATAAATATACGAGAAGTTCATGACAATTACTTTTTTATTATACTATTATTTGTAGATGTTATTGACATCAAATTAGCTTGATAAATTACTTATGAAGTTAATTAACCTAAGTTCGGAAATATAACAGTATTTTACAAATATTAATCAATTTTCTTCGATTGCCTTCCTATTTGTTACATTACATTTCCTTGCTAAAACGTCTGAAGTAAAAACAAACAAATTTATATTTGATTACAAATCTTTGGGAAAATACTTTCTAAAGACAAAAATTTCGGTTAATACAATTATGATTTGTGGTGACAAAAGTTTAATCCTAGCACGGAATATAAGAATAAGTATGGTTAGAGATGCAAGAATACAATGTAATTAAATAATTATAAATGATTAATTTTGCATATGCGTAACATCAAATGACACAGTATCATCAAACGATATTGGCTAATAATAATAAAACAGGGGCGCTACAGCCCTATATGTCTGTATATATCTATGGGGCTTCAGATTGTATACGTTTCTTTGATAATTTTTGTTTCATAGACAAGTCTAACATGTCGTCGGGTTTTGGATAAAATACAAGCCGGTTTCCTCACGATGTTTTCCTACACCGAACGAACGAGTGTTAAAATAAAAAGTTCGTTGGTCAAGTATTACGTCACGCAATTTTTGGAGATTATTGACCTCCCCCATGTAACGCGCCGTAACGTTTTTCTGTACCCAATAGTAAAACCTTCCGTGACCACCCAGTGACTCTTTATACCTAAAGGTTACCATTATGTGGTGTAAAGTACTGCAAAGTCGTAATATTAACAATAACTCGTAATTCAATCCCCGCCCCGTATCGTAACGTTTTACAAAAGGACAGTAAAATTTGTTACGTAATACTTGACGGTCCCTAAGGCCGGGGATCGAACCTTCGACTTCAGGCATGAGTCACCTGCTAAAGCCATTAGCCAAAACAAGACACTGATTATAATACAAAATTATGTTAGGCTCTTCTACTTATAATTTTTTAATAGGATTTTGAAAGATTATGTAAATTGATCACTTAGTCCAAAGTGCCGATAATTTGATCTTCGTCAAAATATGGATAATCCGCTGACGTGTGGCCTCAATATGGCTTCCAAGAAACCGTACCTATTTTTGGCATCTATTATAAGTGTAATTATAGTTCAGGCGACACATCGACGCTATTGTGCGAAGGTTAGAAAGGTGACAGTTTCTTAATTAAGCTTTTTGACGTAAATTCTTGGCAAGCTATTACTTTTATAGTATGGACTTTTAAAGGTATTAACCCTGCACAAACGCGGTAATTAATAAATGTAGATTTTTAAAGTATTTTATATAAAGTATACTATTTTCTTTCGACTGTTAAATTAAATTGTTATGTTCAAAATATCATCCAATTCAACTCAATCCAAAACTCTAACAATAAAATTCTACACATCATGACACAACAAAATATGTCATAAAAACGTTCTATATATACATATATATATATATACACATACACAATTAAGTCAAATTTTAAATAGTCGAACAAAATCCGGTAACGCACTTGCAAGCGCCCCGGCCCTTTCCATTGGCATATAATTCTAAGGGCGATATCAACTAAATTCTTTGCACAAGTACTACATGTAAAATTGCATTAAATTTTTAAATAACCGTACAAAGGCCGGCAACTCACTTTCAAGCGCCCCGGCCCTGTCCATGGTCGGCGGTTAGCATATAATTCTAAGTGCGATCCAAATGTCAACTACATTTTTGTGTTAGGGAGTAACATTTACTGCTAAGATTAAGAAGAACTATCTGTTCATTTGGCCCTGTCCCATAAAATATTTGAACACAAAATACAGTACAAGTAATAAATAAGTCGTCTGCTAAGCTAATCTAATAAAATAATGCCAAAGTTATGACAATTACTCTCACAGTTAGAGCAAATTGAATTTATCGGGTTCATTACAATACTGAGCTCTTGTACAAACTATTGGAATACTTCAATTTAAAATTAAAGGTATTGAATGGGTATTCATGAAGTCCTAGATTTTCTACGGAAATAAAGGAAAAGTGCTGAGTTTTTCAAATAGACTTTTGAGGCGAATATATTTATGCCTGTGTTGATGTGCGAAGATTCTACTGATTTGATTGTAAGATTTGATTTTGACTTGCGGGATTCATTTCAGAATTTGTTTTAGTGTTAATCTGATTTGTGATTGATTTTCATTCCTTTTAATGTAATTTTGAAACTTAAATTATATTTTTTTAAAGAATATTGTATAATCTAAATAAATTTCGCTTTAAGCAAAGCATAGACACTTTAACTTTAATCTAGATAAATAAGACTCATTTGGTTTTAAAGCTACATGTAATGTAATATGATTCATAAACAATTTCTAAATTAATTCAGCGAATCAATTAAAGTCCTAGAAAATAAGAGGTGGGTTCCTAACTCTTAACAGATATTTAGACTGAAAAAAAAACGCTTTAGCATTTTACAATCATACTGTAGGTATAACTCGTTTTATTGATGTTTCATTAATATACGGAAGTTGGTGATCAGACATCGTCGATTTTTAGGTTTATTCTGACTTGAGCACATAGTACGACTCCAATATATATCGAAAACAATATGTTTTGAACATACAGGGATCACACTTGGTTCATATCAGTGGTTTCTCACATTGCTTCCCTTTGCCGTATGAGCGAGTGTAATTTGCGTATATTTATAATATATATATAATATATATTAAATATTATATAAAGACCAATAATGTCTGTGCAATAACGCTTGTATTAGCTGCCTTTGTCATTGTCCGGATCTCGTAAATTAACAACGTCAAAGTCAATTCTGTTTATAGCCGTTAATACTCGTGGTTTTTTTCGTTTTGCAAATTCTATTATTAAAGACTATTTGATAGTCTATAGTTATAATAAAATAGTCGTAATTATTGATGTCGGAGCAATGGCGTTAGTATCAGCTGCCATTGTCATTATAATTTAATAACCTTAAAGCTAAATAAGTTCAAAATCGTTAATACCAGTCATTTATTTGATTTGTCAATGTTGCTATAAACTAACGACTATTCAATGGTCGATAATAATAGTGACGCCATAATCATTATTGTTATTATTAATTTCTCATAATTTGAAACTTATTTTTTTTTCATAAATTAAAACTTGATTTAAAACTTACTTTTCTCATAATTTAAACTTTGAAACTTAAGACAATTAATATTAAAGTAATCTTTAACACACGTTTCTATGATTGCTGTTTGACTCTAGTTGATCGCGGAACGAGTACACAAAAATGTCACAAAACTTTTTTATCGCAAAATCATATTGTTTTAATAGAGGCACTGGTTAGCGCGACTCTCAATTCGATTGAGCGGTCGATCCAAGCAGAAACCATTAAAAAGTAGACTCTAATGTCGTAATTAATCGGCTGACAACAAACTAATTTTTGACGTCTGCAATGCTGGCGTCATTATTTTCAATAATTTATCTGCAGATCATTTAGATCGTGCTTTCTAGTAATCTTTCAGCTTCACAGTTACCTTGTGTTCTTTCGGACCCTGTCTTTGCGTTCCTGTCGTTAGACGACTATCTCAATATATATAAATTACGCGTCACGTTGTTTGTCCGCTATGGACTCCTAAGCTAATTAACCGACTTCAATCAAATTTGCACACCGTGTGCA